GCCCTTTATACCCTGGGCAGGAGGCGTTGCCAGCACTTTTTTTTTTTTTTACTGCATTCCCGATGATTTTCATCACCCCCAAAATCTGAGCCAACTTCCCAGAATCGTCATTTTTGCCTTTGTTCTATTCATGCTTTTTGTCATATCCCACTGGAAACGTTTCATCTCACAAAGGGTGTCTTTCTGCTTCTTCCGTTTCCAAGTAAATAGTCAGGTGTGATTTAAAGTAGGTGGCTCCTTGCTCAGGGCTACATTTTAATAGAGCCTTGTACTGTTAGCTCTGGAGCAGAGCTATTCAGGCAGCGTTTTGATGGAGTAACTCGGCATCTCTTTCGCTGTGTCTCTGTCCCATCTACTACAGTTTTCTGCATTAGGTTGTACCCCTGGCACCTCTGCAGGGACAAGAGCCGTGTCGTGAGGCCCTGAATGAACGTCTTGCAGTGCCGTGAGCTCAGTCGGTGCTGGAAGGCACTTGGCTTCCAATCCTGGAAATACAAGTCCTCTCTTTTATCCACAGAGAGAGGGATGTTCTGTAATGAAAAAGCGATGAAAAGGGAGTTTGCGCTTCAGGGCTCATTCAGTTCTTCCCATCAGAGACCACCCAAGAGCGGAGGAATACGGAAAGGCAATAAGCAGTGGATGCTTTGTGTTCTTCTTTGTGAACTAGAACCTAGCAAACCGTTCAGAAAGGGCCGAGTACGAGTACTAGCTTAAAAATGATGAGATGCTCCAGGAGATAATGTGTGATAGCGTAAAGGAGATGGAGGATGTAAGGAAAAGGGTCCTGGTCTCTAAGCGCTGGGAGCAAGAGCTGTACGGTAACACAGCTTAACACTAACGCTGACCATGGTTTATGGGATGAACGTCTCAACCAGATGTGACCAGGGAGGACAACTTCAGTGTGAGTTTGGAGTTTACAGAGCTTCAGGAGCGAAACCAGTTGCCTCTGAAGAGCCACAAGGCTCAAAAAATGAGTGCAGCGGGCATGGTCAGGCTCCGCTGTCAGTTGTCCGGGGGTGACCTGCGTCACGGACAGAAACCACAGATCTGAGTGTCACTAGCTAATAATGCAGGGTGTGGAGGAGCAGATACTTCTCATGTGTGTACACGGTGAATCGTTTGACTGTATTCGCAGACAGGCCCCGACAACCCCTTCCCGACAGCCAAGTTCTTCCTTAGATCATTTGCCAAAGGAGGGGAGAATGGGCATGGAAATAAGGAGCCAAGGTTCACTTCTGAGCAGCTTTAAAGGGCCTCGCTCCCTCCCCTCTATCTGAAGAAAGCTGGAAGCAATACAGCAGTGGGACGCGTCCTTGGACCATCAGGAGCTGCTGCTGTGGAGCTGCCCGCGCTCCCGTTTGCGGCTGCTGGACGGACACAAGCCCGTGCGAGCGGGATCTGCAGGGTGGGATCTGGGCCGCGTTTGCGCTGGCCGGAGGACGGGCTCAGTCTCTTGGTGGCAGCATCTTCCTGTCGCGTGAGCGTGGGGAGATGGGGCGCGCAGCCAGCAGACGCCCGCTCCCTGCTCGTCCTCCCCAGGTGCGGAGGGGAGACGCGCGGGGGCGGCTGGGACGTGTCTCTCCGAGGAATGTGCCTTCTGCCCCGCTTCGCTCCCTCGCCTCCCCCCGGGCGGTGCCAAGGGGCAGAACGCGAGGGCTGAGCGCGCCGAGAGCAGTGGGGGGACGCAGGAAGGGACCATTGGTGACAAACAACCCCGGGCGAGTCCAGACCCATGAGCGAAGCCTTTGGGGCTTTGGGAGGGATCAGGCTCCGCTGAGCGGCTGTGGGACGGGAAACTGTCACAGCGTTCCGAGGTTATCAGCGTCTTCTTCCTCTACAAGAAATTGCCTTTTCCTTCATCTCTTTTTTCCTATTTAACAGCTGTGCCAAAAAAATACGCACTGCCCAGAATATCTGTGATATTTTGATAGCACCACAAGGCAGCAATTAAAATCATGAAGTGTTAATTAAGACTTAAAACAACACATTAAAAATCCTAAGAGGTTATTTGCATGACCTCCCGTTGAACACAACCACAAACGGCTGCATCGTGTTTGTGTCACGCTCTCTTTTAAACAAGAGGCTGACTGTTAAATCAGATCCTTCCTGGGTTTCATGAGCATCTGCGCACTGTGAGCCTATTTTTTATAAACTTCAAAATCAGAATGCCAGTTCTGTGGCATAACAGTAACTTCACGGTAGCGCTGGTGTTGGAGCTTGCAATGCTGCCTCACTTCAGGAGGGAAACCAAGGCAAGGTTCTGGCTTCACAGGCTCCTGCCAGCAGAGCCAGCAGATAAAACCACCTGGATGAAAACACTTCTCTGCTGGTCTTAGTGCAGCTGTCAAGTTTCCTTCATAGGAGAGTTCCCTAAGATGAGCTGAAAAGTCACGCCTTGGTGTCTCTTTCTGAAGTGGTCTTTCATGCCAGATTACCTCAGTGCAGCCCGCGTCAAAACCATCTTTCTGGCACAAAAAGCTGCTTTCTGAACCTCCCCGGATCTGCCGCTGCCTGTCTGCCTGAGCCCCCACCTGCAGCTCCCTCCTCGGCGAGTTTCTTGAGGCCAGGACTAATTAGTGCTTGAGGCAGGAGAGAATGAGCATCTCTTTTCCACACCTCCCTCACGATTCGCAGTAGCACGAGTAGTAACACTTTGCTAACAAAACCCCCTGATTTAATTACAGGGAATTTTGTTAGCGGAGTATTATTTGTTGTTTCTACAGCAACACGGGTGTGCCCGGACTTTTCCGGAGGAAAAATCCGAAGCAAGGCTGGATTCCCGCGAAGCACCTTCAGCATCCCCACGGCGGGTGTCGCAAGGGCGGCAGCCGGGGAGCTCAGAGGTCCTGCGAGAGCTTCAGCACCCGTGGGGAGAATGAGGGTCCCTTCGAGGTGCCCTGGTAGGCTGTGCCCGTCCCTGCCCTCCTCTGCCACCTGCGTTCGGGCCGCTCAGCCCCTGGCCTGGTCCAGCCCCGGAGCGCAGAGAGGAAAAACCAGAATTCTCTCTTACCTCCCCGTGACAGCCAGGCAGGTTTTACGGAAAGGGGTCTGAACACTGTGTGGCCAGCTCGATTCTTACACATGTAACAGGCGCCTTTCTCTGAATCATCCCATTGATTTCAGAGTTGGATTTATGAAGTAATAAATGTGGCAGAATCCAGCCAAGAATGTGTCTGAACTGGCTTTCTAGGAACGGCGGGGGCGGC